ATCAGTGAATGAAATACAAGCATAAGAAACATAACGACTGTGATAAAAATACATAAATAAAACTTGAAGTTAATAGAATATGTAAAACTTCACGTCGCACCTTTTACCTTGTGACGGCACACTCCACTATAGCGTTCTCTTAATTTAAACATAAACATCTGAGATGTAAGAAAAAATGCGCCAAGTAAAACCTTATGACAATTTAGACGATGGTGAAAATTCCCTGCTTACCACACCAGAAAATTTCCCGGTGTGATAAGCAGATATCTAAAAATTCTTTAATTAGTCTCGGAAGAGAGGGGACCTAATTCTTGCACCCAATGAAAACGGGTAAGATCGGCTATAATCTTAATTTTTGCTATCGTTACTTTTTCCCGAGCAACGCCGGGCTCATCTGCTAGTTTCAAATATTTCTGTTTTAATATCAATTGTTTTTGTTTAATTATTGTATTATTACGTCAAGACATAAGACGATAACGTATGTACTACATACTATTCGGTCGACGCTCGGCGACTGAATGCATCACGAACAAAATGATTAATTACATGTTAATCATTTCAGAAAAATTATCAAATGTTTCTTACTTTCTAGTTCCATTAAAGTCGTAAGAAAGAATACAATCCACTTACTACNACTAGAGACACTAATAGCTATTACGGGAGTGAAGATATAAGCGAAGTACGAATTAGGCGCAAGTACGAATTAGGCAAGTTTCCCCTATACATTTATAATAGATACATTTTGAGCCACAACAAGGCGTGGCGGGGTCTGCTAGTGATAAATATTTGACATTGGACCCGGGAAATCTGATTCGAAGACGATTATATGAGTGGGAAGACTCTGGACTCAACGAAGGTGCTTTGATAATTGAGATTGCGTTTTCCTCTGTTTCACTACAACACGTCCTTATATTCTCGCGATTACATTCACAATTATACCATTATCTCATTAATTCATTTACTTATCATGCATTGTCGCTGTAAACAACATCGAACCCTTAGGTTTTTGTCCTGGGAAGTGGAAATGTCACTTGGCAATATCGAGCGGCAGCTAAAGGGACTCTGGTACAAATATACACACTATAGCAGTGTTCCACAACCTTTTTCTACTCGCGGCACACCTATGACTCGACATGACTCAACACGGCACAGCAAAAACGTATGATATGATACTATTAATAGAATTTCGTAATGTCATTATTATTATGTTAAGTTACGAAATTAAACTTAATTTTTTTTAAATTTACACGTATAATTATTAAAGTAAACATAAAATATATTACTACATCAAACGAATGTGTGAAATATTTTACGCATTACGTAAGTGCGATTCTTATGTATTATAAACACATAGAGTATATCACGTATTTTTGTTAAGATAATGCAAACTAATTACTTCCAAGATATGCAGAAGTTACTTTTTCTGCATTTCTTTATAGTAATTAACATAAACGAATTACAGTAAGACTCCGCTTAACGCTGCCCCGCTTAATTTAACGCTGATTCCATATAACATGGTCTGCTCGAAGCCTTAAAAAAAGCTCAAAATTAACGCCGATATAAATTATCGCGACATTTCATTGATTCGTATATAGGCCTAATACGATTATTTGCGAACACAAACCAATCAGCAAAAGGTGGCAAAAAGGTGTACTTTCTTTAAATCTATGTTTGTTTGATGCAATTTGGGAAAAAATATAACATCATGGATGCCATAGGAAATGTCGACTTCGCTTGGCAAGAATTAACTGATAAATGCATGAATGAAGTGTGAAAGAAGTTATGGCTGAAGGTATCCAAGAATTCTCGACGAGAAGAGCCTATCGCTGTATCGTTAGGTTGACCAAACTCAACCTAATCGATATAGCAGGACCAGGACCGGATTAACCCATTTTGGGGGCTTAGACAATTTCTTCTTCCCTCTCTTACAAGACATAGATCACACAAAAAATATGAAACAATAAATAAAACAAAACTAAATAATGTGGAAAACTAAAACAAATCTTACATTTTTTTAATAAAAAATATTTAATACACAGCAATAAATTTTAGTTTTTCTAGAAAAGTGTGAAGTTTGTTTATAAATTTTAAAAAATTGAAATTTATTTTATTAAATGTCTAACAAAAGTTGTTATACAATAACAATATTACCTTAAAATATTAATTGTCAACAAGATTGTGTCTTGTTTATAAAATCGTACTGCCTGCTGTGTTACCAGCTTAGAGGTACATGTCAGGAGTTGCAATTTGGCACAGAGTATTAAGTGCCCAAATCATAAGAAAAACATATATAAAGAAAAACAGACTTGTGGGTACTCAGGGGACCGAGAATTGAGCCAAAATAAACTACAAAATGGCGACACTATAAACAGGCAAACCGAAGTAGAACGGTGAGAGTACTACCCACAGTCGTTCTAGGAAGTGGACTCTGACCCTAGGACTGAACACGTAGTATTTTCTTTGTTAAATAAAATTTGTAATCTAATTTTGTAAATTTGGGAGTGCTTCAAATATGACATTAAAACAGGGTTTTATGTCGTTACAAGTAGGTTTGTTTAACATTATCAAGTATAGTAAAATCGTGGAACCGATAAAAATTTGACGTTATATTAGGGTTGTCGTTACATCCGATGACGTTATAATCGGGTTAAACTGTATATTGTTTGTGCAAAATAAAAAAAATAATAATTTCGGACGATACAATAGCCATGATTATTTTTTTCAAAAACGGGAAATTTTCGTTAGGCATCGACAAAAATTCAACCCGGGCCGACGGGTTGCAACGGAGAGAAATTTCGAAATTGGATAGGTTAATTTCACCGAAAATACATCGTGGCCGGCGAAGTTTGAACGATCGCGCCCAAAAGCAACGATACCAAAGAAGATTGGAGAATGAGAACGAGATCCGCTTTGAGCGTCAAAGTGATTCCGCTTAGTAGTGTCTCCGAGACATAGTCGTGTCCCAAATACGGTTTTGCCGTTTTACTTGTTTAATTTAACCTTTTTGGTAAATATTTAAATAATATAATATTAATATTTTACCAGTTTTATCAGTATTATACAGTTGTCCAACAGAAAAGTAAACTATCCTATTTACAAATCTTTTCAAAATAGTTTGACCGGGCCTTTCTAAAAACAGGGCCCTAGACATTTGTCTCATTTGTCTATGCGATGATCCGG